AATAGAAGAATAAAAACCAGGCTGCACACCTGCTCATACCCCCTCCCCACCCCGCATCCTAACTACCTTCAGAGGGTCAGTCCCAGCCCCACCACTGCTGCCAGTGTTCTGAAGTCCAGGATCCCTTTACTTCCAGGCAAGAACTCACCCATGGCGTCACCTCAGTCAAGGAGCCAATTGGAGAATTGGCGAGGACACTCTGGGGAGAGAACTGGTGCCATGTGACACACTCTTCTCCAAGCACCCCCATCCTCTCAAAGGTTCAGGAGCCCACTTGGCCAGTGTTTAGGCATCAGTCTCTGTACCCATTTGCATTTTATATGAATACACACAAAGACCCAGGAGTTGACCCAAACATCCAGGTATGTGCATTCTAGCTGGGAAGATGTGTCTTTGTAGTTTTGGAAGTAACTTTGGGCTTCTGTGCATTCGAAGCCTTGGAGACACGGTCTGAAATCCCCCATATTCCATATTCCCCAATCCCTTCAGGAGTACTGGCCCCTGAGTGGGTGCACTCAGAGTCTGGGGGCCTGCCTGAGAGTGGCTCTGGACCTGCTTCAGGCTGGCAGCTGGACACAAAGTAGGCTCTGATGGCTCCCCACGGAAGGACACAGTGGGTCACTGGCTGTCATTTGCCCTGCCTCAGGGCTGGTGTCAGTCAGCCCCATGCACACCTCCCTCCTCCTCTGCTCATGGCCCTGTGACATCACTGGCTGCTCCCAGAAGGCTGCCCTCTGCTCCTGAGCACCGGCTCTCTGTACCTCTGGACCCCTGGCAGGACTGACTCAGCAGCAGAGTGGAGGCTGTCACCTGGACCAGACCACCACCACCCCTGCAGCCTGCGGGGTCTCGGGCGCCTGCACAGGAGACTGAGAACCTCCCACTGAATCTCCCACCTCATTGCCACCCGCAGGTAGCTCCCTGCAGGCTCATTGTCTGCTCTGCCTCCCATGCTGTCTCCATGTCTTTGTGTGGCCAAGTCAACTTCTCTCCTCCTTTGTCTTTACAGCACCCAGCCTCCTGCCCCTTCAACCCCCGACCCTGCTTTCCCATCTGGTAAGCTCCAGTTCTTTCATCAGACAGTTAATTTGAATGCTGGGATGTGTGGTGTGGCTTCTGGGAATGGAGTTTCTGGGAGTTTGGGCATGATGCTTTTAGGTGTGGATATTGAACCTGAGTCCCCACAGCTCCTCTGAGCTCTGGTCACTTAGGGAGGACACAATCCTATCAACGATTCGGGGTTTGGCTGGCATTCTGAGCTCCTACCCCCCAATCCCGGCAGAGCCCTTCACACTCCCAGCTTAGCTCTCCTCTCTCCATTGCGTTGGTAGCAATTATACAGACATGAAGCAGGAATGGGGGGCAGAGAAGGAGCTGGAAATTTCAGCTTTGGGTGAGGAACTGGCTTCCAAACCTTCTTGAATTTAACTCCCTGGGTAGCTCCTGACTTGTGGGAACCTCAGTTTTATTTTTGGAAATGCTTTTGCCTTCCTTCCTGACTTTCTGAAAATATGAGTTTGAAGGGGAATGTGTCTCTGCTCAGAGAGGAGTGAGTAAAAGCCAACTTAGTTACTGAAATTAAAAAGTAGCTCCGATTCCATACCCTCCACGAGTGCATTGTTTCACCCATGCTAGTCTCCTCCCTCAGCTGCATTGTAATCTCTGGGGAGGGGGGGGGGCAAAAACCTTACCCCTTTTCTTTTGATTCCCTTCATCCTGAACAACCAGCAATATGCTCATGATAAACACCTTGTTCAGTACATAATTGCAGATTAGTTAACTGACCCAAGATGGCCTGGTTATTACAGGAAAGTCCTAAGCCAAGGCTATTCTCTGCAGTGACCGCCATCCCTGCCAGGGTTCCAGGCATGACAGGAGGTGGCTTCCACTCCAGTTACTTGCTCCTTATAAGCAAGAAAGAAGGGGGGCCAAAGCCCTTGGGTCCCTTGCTTGTGCTCCTATGTTGGTAGCAAAACTGGTCTCTCCTGCTGCTCACTCCCTCCCTTTCGACATGCCGTCGGAGAATGTAGTGGGAGTAATTAATGTCTGATCTCCGAAGTGGGCCTCTGGAGAGTGAAGCTGCAGTAGGGA